GAAAATAGTAATATCTCTCTATGTATGCCCATAGTCCCTCCCCCCCAAAATTTTCTTCTAAAAATCCACAACAAATAAAACTTTATGAACAAGAAGAATACATTTAGGATGTCACCAATGAGTAATAAATCATAAACATCTGTTTTCTGGCAGTAAAATTTGGTAATTTTTTGATGCCACAATCTCTTCCCAATAAAACCTATAGTCCAAGTTTATTCTGAAAAATTCAAATCATTGGTTACTGAAAGCCATGTATATACCTCTTCTAAGTTTATGAACCCAAAAAGAATAAACAAGATTTGTGAAAATAATTTAGGACATACTGCTGCATATATACCACCGTAAGCTAAGTGAATAAAACAACAAAAATGCTTACCATTTAATGACCACATAAATTTATAACACTTGTTCTAAAAGCAAAGATAAAGTTTAATATAAAGTCTCCTGAATGAAATATAGCAGAGCAATGTGTATATTTATTCAAGTTGTGGAACTAAGGAACTTAAGCAAGGTGTCTAAAATTCTTTAAATGCAGGTATTTGTGCTTATTTATACAATAGTGCAGAGGAGTTATAGAATGTTCATTTTTTCTTTAAATTTCAAATTAGTACTGAGTTTTATTTAGGCACAATTTTAATAGCTGATTTTATGGTGACATTTTATTTTACAATCAAAAAGAGAGACTGTTATAAACATTAAGGAAGAGCTAAGAACATTAATACAGATTTTTCTAAGTACTCATGTGAACTCTGGCAAACAACTGTGAATAACAGGGATTGTTCTTATTTCTTGCTCCAAATGATAGAGAATATAGTATTTCTGCTTCAGTTATCTCTTCTCTCCTAGTCAACTAGCATGTACTCACTCTATCCTGCTACACATGGGCACAGGTATCACTGCAGTATCTCCTTATCATGCTATTTAGTTGTATTAGCAAAGTCCATCATGTTCTCCTTACAAATACCCACTTCAGAAAGAATAGGTCTGGCTCACAGCCTGTTCTGTTTCCATCAGGAGTTTGTTTTTGTTCTTTTTAGAGATAAAAGTCCTCGTTGTGTGCTGTCTGCAAGCTTTGCTTACTGCCCTAAGTAGCACAGCAATAAATAATGCTTGTTTTCATTAAATTCCCATAGCTAATTATTTTGTGAAAATTGTTTAAAGCACAAGTAGCTCTTAAGGTTACAACATACTGCAGTTAATCAGTTAAAATATACTACAGTAGGTACAAAAGCTGTCAAAACCACAATCTATTAATGCTTACATCTGTTACGGATATTTGGGTGAGGTGAGAGACTACCCATGCTAACAAACAGTGTTAAAGATAACCAGAGTCATCAAGTACTACCTACATGAGGAATAAGCTGCCATTTTAGGAAGAAAACAACCAACATACATGTAAGGATGGAAGTAAACATAAAATAGGGTTTTGTTTTGTTTTGGTTTGGTTTTTTTTGCAGGAAAGAAGAGGAGAAGATTCTAAAAAGCAAAGATTGAAAAATAAAAAAAGACTAGGGAACAAGAAGAAAAAGAAATATGATGTGTTATAATTTTATTAGATTCTATTTCTTCCTACAATCCCACATCTTTCTGACTATGTGGGTACTTTTCCTTTCTTTCCATTGGGAAGGTGACTGGCACAGATTCCAGAAATGGAGATAGCTAGAAGTTTATCTGATAACTGGCAATCTAATACCATATAAAAGTTCTTAAGTGTGGTTAACTGTGACAAACCAGGTCAAAAATAATGATTCTCAAATAGCAAACAATAACTAAAAACTTGTGGGAGAGATGAGAGAAAAACAAGGTAATTGGGAAAGGAGAAATAAAGTATAAGAAAATAGGCAACACAGGAGATAAAAGAAAAAGGGATATAGAAGAGAGTAAAGCAAAAGAAAAATTAGCTTAAATACTGTTAATCTATACTTGCTTCTCGAAAATTACAGATGGCTAAGTAACCAAGTGAATGAATTAGCAAGAATATAAAATTTTTTTTTCAATTAAAACCTCAAAAATTAAGAGACAACAGTTACACCAAGAACTATATAATTACTTGAGGATAATTAAAACATTTAAAGAAAAGTGTAAAGAACATAATTTCATGATGCAAAACATCACAAACAAATCAGGTTAAAAATATACAAAATCAATATTAAAGTATTTATTTTTCTCTAGATTCTAAATGACTACCTTGAGCTGTATTCAAATAAATGGGCCAATTCACATTGGGTAAAATATCTGCATTTTGTTTATAACAGAACATAAACACACTATACAATTAAACAGGTATAATCCAAGGTAACAGTTGAATTATACATAATCTTTTACATATAATTTTTTTATAACATGTATGTTACAAATAAGTACTTTCACAATATGTTATAAATGTTATGTTTATATTTAGAAAGCTTACAAAAAAGAAATGAAACATTCCATAAGCTATCCTAAAAAACAGTTTGATGTTCAAGCCTGGTATATACTCATAGATAAAACTCACATAAATGTACAAAAGCTAGACATTGCCAGTATTTTACAAGTTTTTAAGCATCACATGTTTCTTGATGTTAACCTTATCAGTTTTACTTTATACTACAAATATAATTTCTGAAACTCATTCTTTAAAATATTGCTTTTAGAGGAATTATCATACATATGTAACCATTTTTTAAAGATCTCTAAAACCTATAAATTCTATAATCCAAAATTCACAAAAAATGTATTGCTTAATTAAAAGTGAGTTTCAATAATACTTAGCTTTTATCATTCCACTCTCTGAGATAGTCTATGGAGAAAATTTGGAATAATTCAGGAAGACTGTACTCAACGTATAAGTGGACAATGTTGCTATGTACATATATGATCTATAAGAATGTGTATTTTTTTCATGCATTTTGATTTTTTTCCCCTGAGGGGAAGAAAGTGAGCTAAATTACCTTCTTTCAAAACTGTAGAGCAACCAATACTATGTACCCTCAGACCAGGACTAAGTGACTAATGCTATGAAAAAGATTAACATAAACAATTAATTCAGATTTTTTTTCAATTCTCCTTGGTCCAAACTGCTTTCATTCTTTATAACAGATATTTATTCAAATAATAAAAACTAGAAGTTCTGATTTCCTTTACAGACATCTCAGCTTATCAATGATTTGGGTCAAACCATCCCACCACCACCCAATGGAATGTAACTATTCAAAGACTGCAGAAATTCTGTTTATATCAAAAGTCATCTATAATAAAGAAAAACTTATGAACATAGCATTTTTAAGCCATGCATAATTTCAAGAAATGCCAAGCAACCCAATTAAAAATCTGAATGTTAACACTTCATCAGCAATCTACAGGAAATTGTATTAATTTATATATCAGGATAATAAAAATTTTTAATAAGTCAGCTACTCAGTGATTTGAAGTTTGACTCTGAAAAGTAAATATTATAGCTTATAATTAGGGTATTGTTATTAATGCTGTGATTTGCTTTTATCCTCTGACAGTGCTTACCTTTTCAGAATTTGTAAAAACATCAGATTTCAATTCTCCGTCTAGAAACTCATTAAAGTACTTCATCAGTTTCTGAGCCTCCACTGCCCGTTGCCTGGGTGTGTTTACCCCCTCCAACTGGTCTCCAAGGTGACAGACTTTGGTTGCTACATAGCTTATGTGCTCATCTAGTTCTTGGAAATGTTGAAAGGCAACCTAGTAAAATGTATGTAAGCATAAAATACAATTAGAGAACTCAGTTTATAAGTTAATATACATCAAAACTACACTACCATTCTCATCACTACTCTCTAACTTACGTAACTGAAGATAACTTAGAAGTTATACATGAGATGACCTACAAAATTCATGCTCATTAGTATGAAATGATCTGAAAACCTGTTAACAAAGTTGCAAACTTTTATACCATTAACTATTAAAATAATTATATTTATCATGAATACATTTGATAATCAACAAAAAAAGCAAGGCTCCTTACTGCACATGTCATTTAACAAAGAACCTGGCACCATTTCGTCCTAAATAATGATTCTGAAAACAATGAACAAGTATCAAAACACCAGACATCTAAAAAACTCCTTTGCTACTAAACTGAAAAGAAACAAAAGTATATCAGTAGTAAAAGATACTGATTAAAAATTGAGTACTTAACATTTATTTTAAATATTTCAGAAATGATGCTAATATTCTCGTATATAAAGTAAAGTTGTGCTTTCCCAGTTTTTAAAACAGAAAGATTGTTGCAATTATCCTACAGCAAAAGTTTATTATTTCCTAGAATATTCTTTCCCCTCTCCCAAAGTACACTGCTTATCCTGTGGTAGATGAAAATGGTGTGCAATGAATGCCTTATAATTGCCAATAGCAGAACTGCTGATAATCTAGTATGGTACTTTTGTTTTAACCTTAAATTAAGGGGGAAAGAAAAGCAAATGTAAACATTCATTGAGGACTTTCTCTGTGCTATACACTGTTCTAAGCATATTCCATGTATTTACTTAAATGATCCTCTCAACAACCCATTTTACAGATGAAATAACTGAGGCACAGAGAAGTTAAATTGCTTGAGATTACACAGTTTAAAAGTGGTAGAGCTGCAATTCAAACTCAGGCATACTGACTCAGAATTTATTAGTTTAACTATTAATACTATATTACAAAGGGAAAACTGCATTAGAAGTATTTGGAAACTGTCACCTTAACTATTTAAAAACACATTCCCTATCACATTTAAATTACTGACTTCCTTAATTAAAAATTTTCTCACAGCGATATATGCTTAAGTGAAGGAATTAGAACAGAAATTTTAGCAGAAATTAGTTTGTAATTCCTAACATTAAAGAACTAATGGCCCCTGGGAGGCAGCAAAGCTAAATAATACTCTTCAAACTACACTTAGAAAAGGCAATCAAATTCCAAATCAGGTCCAGCCTTTGAAAGGATTCAGAGGTTCCAGATTAAGTCTAGGGCCTACGAGTGACTAAGAAGCTTGGCCTACTTAGCCCCAGGACCAATCTAGTGATTTGCTTTTACTCCGAAATAGACAGAGGAAAAAGAGTTCTGTGTCTGCTTTTCTCATAGTTACATAGAATTCTCACTGGAGCACATTCATCATGACTTCTGCGGAACTTCCTTGACCAGGTTTTTCTCTATGGGAAAAACATTATCCAGGCAATAGCTGGTCTCACATTATTTTGTTTTACAATGAAAGAGAATGCAAATGACTACCGAAGTATCCAAACTAATAAAGAGTCCCTAAAAGTACAGGTCTACTGAAGTGTCATTCTTGAAAGTCTGCATTGTTATAGGAGAAGCAAGGACCACACTTAACTGGATATCAACCCAAACTGAGAAAGGAGTACTGTGATTGCAAACCAATACTCTGCAGAAAGCCAATGCCAAAAAGTACCTGATTAACAATTCATTAACATTTTATCCCATGGGACTGGAGTGGCAGAAACCTGCATAGTTACTATCATTTGACTAGATTTTTTTAAGAGCTTAAAACTGGAGGAAATAAAGACATTATAGCCTGTATAAATCAATCACTGCTTAGCTAAATGTTTACCTGATTGCTTTTCTGGAGCTCTTGTACCTTCTTGGCAAATTCCTTGGCTTCTTTCTGACATTGTTGCTCTAGTTTCTCTACTTTCCTTTGAATCCTTTCATCCATTATCTGGAGTTCTTGAATATGATTTACAAATTCTTCTAATAATCTAATAGCAGAAAATTAAAATATATATCAATCTATTATTATTCATTAGGAACTGACCACTTATAATCATAAAGTCTTAAAAGTTCCTTCAGTTTGCAATGATCGTGTTAATTTTCTCTATAGCATCTTCTTGGGAATTTCTTCAATCAAAAGATCAAATCTTTCTGTAATTTCATGGCGTCTTCATAGCTTTGTTCAGGCCACACAGCTTTAAAACAAACATGACGACATTTGAAAATACAGCCAGTCTTTAACTATTGACTTTTCAGTGGATTGTCTCTAAGGTGAATAAAAATCTCACCCAGAATCGAAAAAAATTTTATAGCCTATTTAAAACAGTCAAGAAGGTAAAAATACTATATAAAAATAATAGTGTATTCCAGAGTTTGGTGACTTTCTGTTCCCCCAATTTACAACTATACTTAAAACAACATATTCAAAATGTTTTTGTTTTAGAGTATAACCAATCCTTTCTAATTTATTACTAACTGGAAGAAATGTTAAATTCCATACTCAATAAAATCCTTTCCCTCATACCAGTTAAAGTGTTTCTTTAAAAGAAAAGGAATATAAAAGGAAAAAAATAATCTCAAACTTCTAATTCTCTGTTGGATTATTTGTGTCTTTTATTAGCCAACTGTTAACTAAAATCCCTTTACAGGAATATTAACAGGATTCCCAATAGTCACCTCTCTTCTAACACAAATTTGTACTAGACTGAGTCTATAAAAAAAAAAAAAAAAAACCAACACATTTTACTTCACCTTTTAGGATCAAAAGCTTCAGGTCCTCCTCTAGAGCCTCCTCCTGGGGTTCTCCATACAAGGCGTTCAATATACTCATCTGCCACAAAAGGCTCCTAGTTTACGAAACAAGTATGTTTTAACGAAGTTTCATATAAGAGTACTTAATATTACTTACAAAAATAAAACAAGTGCTACTATGTGAGACTTAAAATGGAATTAAATTA